GACCTTTTTTTGATTGGTCTTTTGCTATACATTACTAAGGGCCCATCAAGTAATGAGTTCCCGAAATTACTTAATCTTAATGCGCTCAAATGAAATGAAGCCAATGAATAATTATCATGAAATTGACATAAGCAGACCTTACAGGTGTGATATTATTTGACATCATATTTTAAAATTTTTCGTGGAAAAGAAAAAAAAATATCTATATTTACCTTTAGGTAGACACTGCTGTTCTGCAAACTTACGCCTTCTCTTCTTATTTTTTCTTTCCTTTACTGGATCAGTGATTTCTGCCTTCACTTTCCACGGAGACATTTCGGATTCGGTTTTTTCGACATGGATCGTTGTATTTCCACTGTCAAGATTTTCCTTGTTACAGACTGCATGTCTTCTTCCATGTGCTTGGGCTAAAAGATTGCCAGGTGGAGACGGCTTCTTCTTGTTTTTAATCGAAGCGGGTGAAAGACGATCGTCCTCATCCAGTGCACCCTTAGTGGAGGATGAAACCATCTTTTCGCACGTGTTATCAGTTGACAGACAACCAAACCCACATTTTTTTGATGGTTGACTCAAGGGGGAGTGTGGAAGAAATTCGAACCCTTCCCTCTCAAGATTTTCTTCTGTAACTCGATAACGACACCATTTTTGGGAGGAAAAGGAGGATTTATACATGGCCAGCCTCCTTTCCTCGTCCCTGGGTCTCAATGAGTTTTCTGTTACGGTTTCAACAGAGGGAAGAAAACATCCTTCTTGATTACTCGAAGCAATGTTCACAATCTGTAATGGGGCTCTTCTCGGTGAAGCGAACTTCATCTGCATTTGTTCATCTAAATTTTTTTTTCCTGTTTGCTTCGAGTCAAATGATTTTGCCGGTATTCCAATAGTGTATCGACTGCAAATGTTTTCACGGTGAGTTGGCAAGTCTTTGCTGTTTGATATTTCACGATAGGCCGATAAATGCCTTGAGCGACGTGGTGCCAACGAGTTTCCTTGCGGCTGCCTAGTGCGATATCTTGAGTGGTTTTCAGAAGGAAGAATATCATCAAGGCCATTTTCAGTGATAGCGACACGCGTTTTCCTCAGATCTCTTTTCATGTAGCTAAAGCGATTGCGCTCCGTTGACGAGTTCAAGTCTTTGTTGCCGACCGAGGTTGCTGTGGTTAAGTGGGTAGTTGTAGGAGACTGATGTGGATATGAGCTTGATTGTCCATGGTTTCTTCCGACTTCGTCCGCGAAACATTCCATCGACGCATTTCTGGGAGGGTTACATAATGGTGAAGAGCGCTTCCTTTCGCAGTTCTGAAACTCAAACCCTGAAGGGATGTACTTTGGACCTTGGTAAATACCATTTTTTCCACAAAATTGATCAAGGAAAGATATTTCACCCTGCGATCCTGGCTCGTTAAAGACAACATTCAAATCTTGGTGTGGAGAGGATTTTCGCAACTTGGTGATATCTTGTTGACTTGAAGAGCCATAACACCGATTTCCAAGCGCCTGCCAAGGTCCTAATCTTTTGTTTGGAATAAATCCATCTAGCCAGGGAAATTCTGAATGAGAACCACCATATTTTACTTGGCTCTTCACGATTTTCATTCCCTTTTCAAGAGAGCACTTGTCATCCAAAGGGCCATCTTGAAACTGCGAAGATTTTCTTACCGTACACTGGCGAGAAAGCCGATCAGATCGGGATGCGTGCAACCAATCACGAGCGCTTCCACGATTGTTGACCCGATTGATCTGCTGGCTTTTTTTCATAACTGATGCCAGTAAAAAGGCTAGAGTTGCCTTTCGTTCTCTAATGGTATGTAGAGTGAAATGATAAAAAAATTCATGAAGTTTCGCAATATTTTAAGAGAATTGAACCCTGTTGATTGAATTACATGGCTACTTACGATATAATTACTATAAAAAGCCAAAGTTAGTTCTTTGAGGTACATGATTGGCTAATTTGTGAAATCACGCGGGCCTAAAGTGCATACAAAAAGAATACAAAGGAAAAGAGGGGGAGAAAATTGTTATAAAATTTGTCAACGAAAGAGATTTTCTACACTTACGTCATACTTGCGTTAAACGTACGCAATACTTGCGTCATATTTACATAATACTTACGTAATACGTACGCAATACTTACGTCATATTTACATAACACTTCCCTATTGCAAAATATTTACTTCGATTCGAATGTGTAACATTTCAGGCACACGTGCCAGAGCACCTGCAGTAATATTCGGGGCATGTGGTAAA